GCAAAAAGTTACTTTTATGTTGATTGAAATTCTTAGTTCTTTTTTTAAATTTGTTGATTCTTTATGATTTCTGACTTTTTAAATATTTTTGGAAAAAAGACCCACTCTGAGAATATTCTCCCATATTTTCTTCTATTTCTCTTTTTGTTGAATATTTTTATTTCATAGGGAATTTAATTTGGTATAAGGTACAGCGATATCTCATTTTTTTTTAATGAAAAGCCAGTTGTATTGTACCAAAATTATTTATTGAGTTATCTTTCCCCACTGCTCATAATTCTGCTGTAACAGAAATGAATTTATTTGTAGCAGAAAATCTGATTAGCAGTGGCTCAAATTCACAGGAGTTTGTCTCACACAAAATAAATCTGCAAGTAGACAAAGCATGGTTAGAATTAAACCTTAACGGAGCAAAACCTATACTTTTTCCATCTTTCTCTCTAGGAATCTTTTTTTTCTTTTTTTTTTCAATATGAATTTTTTCTTTCCATTTATTTTTATTCATTGGAGGCTCATTACTTTACAATATTATAGTGGTTTTTGCCATACATTGACATGAGTCAGCCATGGATTTACATGTGTTCCCCATCCCTCTGGGTCTTCCCAGTGCAACAGCCCTGAGCACCCGTCTCATGTCCCCTCATCATTACAAAATGGCTGTTGAATATCAGTACAAAATGCAGTGAAAAGGGAAAGGGCAAAGGTTGAAGAGGTCATAGTAACCAACTTTGTCCATTTTAAAAGATTTTTTCCACAAGTCCCATCTAGGGTATTATTTTCTAGGCTACTAGTGTAACTACTGTCATTGACCATCCTTTCCTTCAGTTCATCAGTTGAGTTCCTAAAGAAATAAAGTATTTTGGATATATGCAACCTAATGTTAATTGCAGCATTATATAAAGTAGCCAAATATGGATGAATGGGTAAAGGAAGTGTGGTATGTACACACACACAAGAAATAGTATTCAGTAGTTCTAAAAAGGAAATCTTGGAATTTGTGACAGCATAGGTGGTCCTTGAGGTCATTACACTAAGTGAGATAAGTCAGAGAAGGACAGATACCATATGATCCCATTTATACGTGAAATAAAGACAGTAACAACACAGAAGAACGCTGAGCTTATAGATACAGAGAACATGTTAGTGTTTGTCAGTGTGGAGCGATGTACAAAATGGGTGAAGGGGGTATAAAGATATACATTTTCCAGTAATGAAATAAGTCCTGGGGATGTAAAGCATGGTGACGATAGTTATTAATACTTTATTGCATACTGAAAAGTTGCTTAGAGAATAGATCTTAATAGTTCTTACCACAAGAAAAACAAAAAGTTTTGTAACTGTTCATGGTAACAGATATTAACTACACTTATTGTGGTGATTTTTTAAAATATGTACAGATATTGAATCATATTTTATACCTGGAACTAATGTTATATATGAAGTATACTTCAAAATAAATACAAATATATAGATATACATATATATAAGTTCTCTAGAGTTGTTTGTTTTCTGCTACATTCGAATCTTTGAAGTATACTTATTTCTTATTTAGATTTTCCTAAATGCTCATTTTTTGGGCTTCCTTTCTTCTTGCTGTTGGACCTGAACAGAAAGATTATTTTCTTTCTGTTTCCTTGGGGCCCAGGTCAGGTTATGAGCTCTTAAGTGGTTGACTTTCACAGTTGGTACAAAGCAAAAGAAGCTCTCCCCTGGTAGGCTTTTGTGAAATAGAAGCACCAGGCAGCCTTCAGAGAAATACCTTGCCTTTCCATCCTGCTACCCTCTGCAATCTGTGTTTCCACGTCCCCAGTCTAAAGAGCTGGGAAGATTGAGCCAGCCCCTTCAGTTCCTTTTTGGTCTCCTATAGAGCTTAAGAGAGATTATATGGAGCTTATAGAGCATATATGGCTGTCTGAGGAGGCCTTACAAATAGCTGTGAAAAGAAGCAGCCAAAGCAAAAGAGAAAAGGAAAGATACATCCATCTGAATGCAGAGTTCCAAAGAACAGCAAGGAGAGATAAGAAGGCCTTTCTCAAGGATCAGTGCAAAGAAGTAGAAGAGAACAATAGAATGGGAAAGACTAGAGATCTCTTCAAGAAAATTAGAGATAGCAAAGGAACATTTCATGCAAAGATGGACTCAATAAAGGAAGAAATGGTAGGGACCTAACAGAAGCAGAAGATATTAAGAAGAGGTGACAAGAATACACAGAAACTGTACAAAAAAGATCTTCACGACCCAGATAATCACGATAGTGTGATCATTCACCTAGAGTCAGACACCCTGGAATGTGAAGTCAAGTGGGCCTTAGGAAGCATCACTATGAACAAAGCTAGTGGAGGTGATGGAATTCCAGTTGACCTATTTCAAATCCTAAAAGATAATGCTGTGAAAGTGCTGCATTCAATATGTCAGCAAATTTGGAAAACTCAGCACTGGCCACAGGATGGAAGGGGTCAGCTTTCATTCCAATCCCAAAGAAAGGCCATGCCAAAGAATGCTCAGACTACTAAACAATTGCACTCAGCTCACACGCTAGTAAAGTAATGCTAAAAATTCTCCAAGCCAGGCTTCAACAATACGTGAACCTGAACTTCCAGATGTTCAACCTGGTTTTAGAAAAGGTAGAGGAACCAGGGATCAAATTGCCAACATCCACTGAATCATTGAAAAATCAAGAGAGTTCCAGAAAAACATCTACTTCTGCTTTATTGACTATGCCAAAGCCTTTGATTGTGTGGATCACAATAAACTGTGGAAAATTCTGAAAGAGATGGGCATACCAGACCACCTGACCTGCCTCTTGAGAAACCTGTAAGCAGATCAGGAAGCAACAGTTAGAACTAGACAGAGAACAACAGAGTGCTTCTAAATAGGAAAAGGAGTACGTCAAGGCTGTATATTGTCAATCTGATTACTTAACATAATGTTAATACAGTGCACATCATGAGAAATGCTGGGATGGAAGAAGCACAAGCTGGAATCAAGATTGCTGGGAGAAATATCAATTAACCTCAGGTATGCAGATGACACCACCCTTATGGCAGAAAATGAAGAAGAATTAAAGTCTCTTGATGAAAGTGAAAGAGGAGAGTGAAAAAGTTGGCTTAAAGCTCAGCATTCACAAAACTAAGATCATGGCTTCCGGCCCCATCCCTTCATGGCAAATAGATGGAGAAACAGTGGCAGACTTTATTTTGGGGGGGCTCCAAAATCACTGCAGATGGTGACTGCAGCCATGAAATTCAAAAACGCTTACTCCTTGGCAGGAAAGTTATGACCAGCATAGACAGCATACTAAAAAGCAGAGACATTTCTTTGTCAACAAAGGTCTGTCTAGTCAAGGCTATGGTTTTTCCAGTTGTCAGGTATGGAAGTGAGAGTTGGAGTATAAAGAAAACTGAGCACTGAAAAATTGATGCTTCTGAACTGTGGTATTGGAGAAGACTCTTGAGAGTCCCTTGGACTGCAAGGAGATCCAACCAGTCCATCCTAAAGGAGATGAGTCCTGGATGTTCACTGGAAGGACTGATGCTGAAGCTGAAACTCCAATACTTTGGCCACCTGATGTGAAGAACTGACTCATTTGAAAGGACCCTGATGTTGGGCAAGATTGAAGGTGGGAGAAGAAGGGAATGACAGAGGGTGAGATGGTTGGATGGCATTACCAATTCAATGAACGTGAGTTTGAGTAAACTCCGGAAGTTGGTGATGGACAGAGAGGCCTTGCGTTCTGCAGTCCGTGGGATTGCAAAGAGTCGGAAACAACTGAGCGACTGAAGTGAACTAAACTGATAGAACATAGTATTCCATGTAGCAATCATGTAATACCAAAATTAACTTTTTTTGTGGGGTATTTAACTAAGTGCCACGCTTTCCCCTTCTTTCTGTTCCAGGCTCTTGAGATTCTTTCAGATTCTTTGCTGTTGTAAGTATCTCAGTACTCTTTTGTGGGACACCAGCAGAGCTCAAGACCTCATTTGTATCCAATTTTCCTAGCCGCATTTTGGCCTGGAAAAAACAAATTAGCCACAAATTGAGAATAGTCAGATAACGAAGTTCACAGAAATTCTCACTCTTTGCCTTGTGAATTTCCATTTCCAAAATGTTTTAGGCTAGAGTGGGAAACCTCTGCTGGATTCAGCTGTCAGTTTTGTATTTTAAATAAGATGACACAATCTGGTGATACCAAGAGCCCATGGTAGGCTTTTTCTTTGAAAAGTTAATAAATTCAGTGCATGAATTATAGAGTTAAATGAAAGTTCATAGTAGAATTGGAAGAAACAGGGTTGAGATTTCAGATGTGGGAAGTTGGTTATACTCTTGAAATGCTTAACTCTTTAAGGTGTCTTATTTAAAACAATTGAAAACTGCTGTCACACATATCATGATTAGTTTGATCTGAATTCAGTAGACAGTAATCCTTTCTAGTTAAACTTCTTTCTGTTTTTGTTTTCTTTACTTTAAGTTACCTCTAAAGAATTGAAAACTGCTGTCACACATATCATGATTAGTTTGATCAGAATTCAGTAGCCAGTAATCCTTTCTAGTTAAACTTCTTTCTGTTTTTATTTTCTTTACTTTAAGTTACCTCAAAAGAATTGAAAAGTGCTGTCACACATATCATGATTAGTTTGATCAGAATTCAGTAGCAAGTAATCCTTTCTAGCTAAACTGCTTTCTGTTTTTGTTTTCTTCTTTACTTTAAATTACCTCAACTAGTTCCCAAGTACAACAAAACTTAAACTATTATTTGGAATGAATGGCTTAGAATAATGAATTAAATACTGGTTGTGAATAATAATTTTGAACACATTAACAATTATTTAGTTGGGGCGGATCAAAACAAGCAAAAAAGAGAAAGCCATCATGTACCTCTTGATATCTGTCCACATCTACTTTGAGAGAAAATGTTCTTTTTCCAGTAGGAGGAAAAAGAAATCGAACTGGATGTCATATATCGTATTTAATATGTGCTTTTTTCTTTTTATCCCTTTTAGGACAGTGGTGATTATCCCCTTACCATGCCTGGACCTCAGTGGAAAAAATTCCGTTCAAACTTTTGTGAATTTATTGGAGTCCTGATTCGACAGTGTCAATATAGCATAATTTATGATGAGTATATGATGGACACAGTAATCTCACTTTTGACTGGTTTGTCAGACTCCCAGGTCAGAGCTTTTAGGCATACAAGTACTCTTGCTGGTAAGTAACTAACAGTTTGTTTCCTTTTCATTTAGTTTTGTTAAATATATTCCATTCTAGTTAGCTTTATTTAGATTAAATATTAATTTAAAATAATTACTTTACTCTTGGAAAACAGCTTTTCTCCAAAATTCACATGAATGGTTTTGTATTCTCTGTTGGGCTAAAACTTGTGCTTATTTTGATAACTGAGGTTTGATAGTCTTGAGAATGAAAATTGAAATTTTCTGACGAACGTTACCAAATCTCTTTCTGAATATATAGTTATTTTCTTGCATTTTTATTTTATAACCAAATAAGCTCTAGGAGTCCAGCGGGCCATATTCTTTGATAAAACCAAATAGTTGAAATTCCAAATTCACAGGTTTTTTCCTACTTAATTACATGGTTTCATTGTTACTATACATAAATGTGTAAATATTTGTTTATATATATATATATTTTAAACAGTTCCATCTAAATTGTAATAAGTAATTGTGACCCAGCTCGGATTCTTTCTATTCCTAGTGGTATAATCACTTAAATGTAGTGTTTGTAAAATCAGTTCAAGTAAGTAGACTAAGTCCTGAAGAACTGATAGATTATCATTTTCCCTTTTGCTTCTGTTTTAGAATTATCTATATAATTTCTGAGTCAAGTATATTCATTTTCCCCTTGTTTTCCTGTAACAAGATAATTTTGTTAATTTAGCTGTTCTGATTCAACGATTAGGTAACTGTGTTTACCTAAAATGACTAAATGACTTCTTTTTCTATTATATATATGCGTATGTTTACAAAGAAACTGTGTGTTTGCATAAACATATATTTAAATATTCCCAAATTACATTCCTTTTAGTAGCAATAACTGACTATATTCAACTTATACACATTACCGTGAAAAAATGAGATTTAATATAATTAATTGCATTTTATTTTGAATTTAAATTTCTCATTTATGTAAGTTATTAAATACATTGATTCTTAAATTTTAGCATTCACCAGAATCACCTCCAGGCCTTACTGAAACGGACTGTGTGGCCTAGCCCCCAAGTTTAGCAGATTTCTAACTAATGCTGTTACTTTGGGCAGTGTGCATTACAAATCCTAGATTTAAAATTTTATCATTTTCTTGTTTAACTTGTTGGCTAAAGCCAATGTGATAGTTTTATATAGCATCATCTGCATTTTTTCCATTTTTTTTTCAATTATTTTCCTTCCCTATTCAATGTGATTAATCTATATTATTAGTGTCCCTTATTCCCTTAGTTGCAATTCTATATGGAACAAACATGACACACAGTTATTCTTTTGAGAGTGTCCCTTTCCTATTTATTAGGTAAAGAGGAAGATCTTTTACTTAATTTTATCTTCTTTATAAAGATAAAATCACAGTTTATTGTTGAGAAAATTTCCTGTATAGAACAAACATCAAGCACATTTTATTCTGTGTTTTGAGAGACTTTGTACCAAGTTATAGCTTTTTTGCCAAGGTACTAAAAATATACTACTTACTACTTAAAAGTTACCTATAATATGTATTTTTTCTAATCTCATGACTTTTATTATTTTCTGCAATTTATAGGTACTTTTTTCTTTTCTTTATATTTTCTATTTACTTTTCATCTATCATTCTTATGTCTGTGTACAGCAACTCCCATTTATTTAGCTGTTGTTCAGATGCATTGTACCAAGAAAAATAGGAGATCAATGTTATGTTTATCCTTATTTTTCAAAAGCTAACCTATTTTTCAAGTTATTCTCAAATTTACTTCAGAATACTATGTAATTTCTCTGTGTACATTAATGATCGTGTCTTCCAAAGTTCAGTTTCCTAAAAAGTGAGACACCAGTCCTACCCTTCAGCAAAGTGGGAATCTTGCTGAGAATTTTAATTTCAGGCTGGATAATAATTTCTTCAAGGATTATTTTCATCTTTGATCTCTTTCTGGTTCTCCTCCCCCCCCCCTTTTTTCTTTCATGGTATGTGTATGAGGGATAGATTTAAAGATAATCATTTTTATTCACTTTGCAGGACGAGTCTTGGGGACTAGATAAAATGGGCAGGAACATTTAATCCTCTGCTTCAAAGACTATGTGCATGGACAGTTACAAGGCAGTTATGGCCAGATATGATTATCGGCTTTGGAATAAAATGCTCCTTGACATTGCTTATATCTTAGCTGAGAAGAGAGACAATCAGGTTAGTTGTTTTCTAGGGTACAGACAAGATAAGTTTTAGAGCTTCATAAGTCATCACAGTGGTCTTTTCAGTAGTACTTTTAATCTGTTTACCAATATCCCATTTTCTTGTTGTTAATTAATAGTGTGTCCCAATTTGTTAGTGTTTATGCATTGCATTTAATTGTATATTTTTGCCACATTTTTATTAAAATTTTTCACCATTTTGTAGTTTTTCAGGTTTGTCTATTCTTCAGGTAGAAGTACTTTCATTATCTATTAGTGATAAACTGAACTTTCCCTTTTATTTTTGGAATTCTTTTTACCATTAAATTGAAACAAACTGTTAACAATTAGATTTTATATTACATTTTCCTTATTTTTTTTCTGTTCTTTTAATTGTACTTGAAAAGCATACTCTCCTGTTTGATTTATCTTCAATAAAGAAGCTTTACTTTGTAGTAAACTTTTCATTAACAATCTTCATAGTTAAGTGCCTTTGTTGTGAAGCTACATAGATAGATAAATAGATAGCTAAATAGTTAAGGCATATTAGAACATAATTTGTGGAATTAATATATATAAGTAATATTTTGGTGGATTTACAATCTGAGATTGGCCATATTTTCTTTCTCCAATTTCATGAAATTTTCATGAAAAAAAATGTTTTTCTCCTCCAGATCAAAAATAAGTAGGATTCCCTTTGTTTTACCACTTTGTTCTTTGGTATTATAAAGATAATTCTACTCTCAAAGGATCTATTTTTCATATTTATAGTTATATTATGCTCAGTCATTTGCTGTTTTAATCTATGCCAGTACTTTAGAAATTAACTTTAAAATTTTGTTAGAGAGCAAGATGAATAATGTTGGCTTACTTTTTTTATTTTTTGCTTTTTTCTCACCTACATAATTTAGAAATAGATTAATAATGGCTATGTCTCGCTTCTAAGGTAAAAATGCCAATTTGTACAAAGGGGGATTAACAGTACAGAATTTTATTAATAACATGTTTATTAATAACGCATTTATTGACCTCCCAGCTCCATCAAACATTTCATCATGATGAAACTGGCTCTCTGTTAGGAGTCTGCTTAATCCTACAAATCCTCACCGGTCTATTTCTAGCAATACACTATACATCCGACACAATAACAGCATTCTCCTCTGTCACCCACATCTGTCGAGACGTCAATTATGGCTGAATTATTTGATACATACATGCCAACGGAGCATGTTGTACATGTACAGAATTTTATTAATAACAACATGGCGATTGATTCTGTTCAATTTTTTTCTAACGTGAATTATGGAACAATTAGAAAATATGGTTAAAATCACCATATGATAGGTGACTTCATTATGCTGGAAGGTTATCACTATTTAACAATAATGGGTGCCTCTCAGACTCTTGGGGAAGTAAACATTTCTTTTATATCTCATTGTTTAACATCATTGTGTTGGTATATGGTTGATTTTTATATTGACATGATTTGTTATTGATTAGCACTTCTTACCAAGTCAGCATCTCTGGACTTTTACTGAGGCAAGACAAGCTATATGAAATTTCTTTGTTCTCCTGTCATAGACCAAAAGTAATCTTGTCTCAGTAAATTGATGTCTTTTCTTTGGCTTTCAGTTGCTGAAACCATATAATATAGGGTTCATAGAATGGGTTCTGAACCAGATTGTCTGAATAAATATCCTTTTCTGCATTTTACTAATCAGGTAATTTTGACAAGTCCATAATTTATTTGGCCTCACTTTCTTCATATGCAAAATGGGAAAGATGTTGATAACTATCTCATTAAAAGAAATTAGGAAAGCCTGAATGGTGCCTGACATTTAGTAAACTAGTGCTATTATTCTGTAATTACAAAAGGAGCCAGTAGTATTTGCAGTGTTTCCCTTCATACATGTCTTTTTCCTTCAGAATTTATTGAACATCTACTATTTTAGTAATAGAAGACATTAGAGATGGGGAAATCAAAAACAAACATGTAAATAAACAGATCTTGCCAAAACTATTATTAGGAAAACTGACAGTAGGCACTTTCATTTTATTTATCTTTTGGCTCTTCAATGCCAAATTCTGTTTATTAAATTCAGTAGCTATTTTATGACTCTTAACCAAATTGGATATGAATTTCTATATGGTAGACTTCTGATATTCCAGGATTAATGCCCAATAATTGACCAAATCTACAAGGCCCGCTATATATCATGTAATTTTATACATAAAATATAGTAAAATTTTAAATGTAATTTGCTCTTTCAAATCTAAATATAGATAATTAGAGTAATGAAGAAGTATCATTTTCTTAGAATTATCTCTTATTTTCTGTCACCAGGTACAAAAGTTAGTTTTCTTTTGGGAGCTAGTTTTTGTAATGAAGTTACGATTTTTAAAATCATTTTATAAACATGTCCTTTCTGTGTCAACTTAGTGACCTTGGACAAGTTACATAACTTCAGTGCCTTACTTTCCTCATCTGTATAATGTTGATATGAATAGTTCCATTTTATTAGGAGTGTTTTGAGGCTTAAATGAAATAATTTGTGTTAAATGTTTCATGTATACAAGTCATTAAGTAAGTGTCTAATGTTATAATTATGATAGAATGACAAAGCTTCCTTGGTTTGACTCTAAAGAGGGCAGAGAAACTGAGAAAATCTTGTAGATTTTCCATTAATGCTTTCATATTACACGTGTAAACATTTTCTGTACATACAAAATTACATATACAACTTAACGAATTCAGAAAAGGAGAAAAGTGCAAAAGTAAGAATCAGCCGTAATCATACCATTTCTGCCATAATCATACTGCTTCTTAATGTTGCC